CTGCTGATTCAACTTCCTTCTCCAATTTTCCTGAATCCCACAATAAATCTCTTGATCTTCAGTTGGATCCTCCATTGATTTTTCACATAGTTTTGTGCCACATCACCAATGAATGAATCCCCAACTACAACCAATCTACTTCAACACAATTGGCCTAAATTCCTCAGCTACTGAGCCCACTTTGATGGGCATAGTCATGTCAATTGGCTCCAAACTGATCTGATCTCTAGTTTCACCTGGGTCCCTGATGGCCTCAAAACTGTCTGGCGATTCTTTCATCTCTAGTCATTTCCTGTGTCCCTTCTTCACAGGTGTCCAAATCTCCACCATTCTTTCAAAATCTCTAGCTGCCTCCAGTTCCTCTCACTCACAATAAATGACTTAGTATATTGTCAGGCTTTTCTTAAATATATTTTGTAAGCTATTAATTTATATTTTAAATGTTAAGGTAAAACAGGTTAAAAAAAGCATTTTCAACGTAAAACATCAGATACTGATGTGGATCCTAGCTGGCAGGATCCGTGCATTGTAGCCACGAGACAAATACACACGGACTACAGAAATCCTGTAGAGAAAAAGGATTTCCCTATTTCTTCTGCGGAGAAAAAGGGGCGGCATGGCCACTCTCTGAGAGAGAGAGAGAGAGAGAGAGCGCGCAAGCGCACAAGAGGGCCCCAGCCCATGCCTGGACAGGCCTCTATTGCTTCTCTGGGTACATTACATGGAGGGTAGTCCTCATTGACTATGCACAGGTTCCTGCAGGTGACTACCTCTCACCGATAATAAAGGAAGGAATGTTGCTAATTACATCAAAGAGAAGGATGTTGCATAACAAGGGGAAAAGTGGTTGAACCGGTTACACTCCATACTTGGAAGGTTTAATACAGACTTTAGGAAGTTACAATAAGCACCTGCTGCCTCAGTTCAGGGTGAGGGAGTTTTAGCAAAAGCAAGCCTCATAACAGCTTAGGTACAATGCAGGCCTGATTCCCCAAGTGAAAACCTCTCAATGGGTGTGGTCCTGTGTGCCACTCACTCCCTACTGGTTCTCCACATGTGTGCTGAGCTACATTTCCACACATGGGAAATGGTTCCCTACAAGATATTACTTCCTTTATCTCTAAGGTTAATTATTTCTTCCAACTGCACTTCATACTACCAATTAGCCTTTGCGTGAAACTCTCTCCTGCCTTAGCTTTATTCATAGCACTCTTCTGTTTTCCCTCCTACTCCTGAACACACCTCCTTTATTTCCTTCACCAGTTCCTCTGCCAACAAGCCAGTGTGCCTCAGATCTGGTCCCTTTTCACTGTAACGTGCTCCCTACATGATCTTATCCACTCCTAGAACTTCATTTATATCTGCCAAATGCTGATAACTCAAATATCCAACTCATTATGACTCATCTTTACCAGATGTCTCCTACCTATCTCAACTTCAACATAAACTCAACTCAGTAACTTTATCCATTCATCTACTTCTCTGCATACTTCTTTTTGCCTTTATGGAAATACCACCTACCTACTTTCCCAAGAAAGAAAAATTAAGTTACCTTTGATACTTCTTCATCCTTAACCTTCACATTAAAGTCACCAAGTTCAGATGATTCAATCCAAAATTTAGCTCAATGTGTCTCACTCTTCATTTCCAAAGTCACTACTCTCTCACCCTCAACTTTCTCTTACATGTATCTACACCAGTAATTGGCAACATGAACTGCACATTAGAATCACCTGAGGAACTTCTAAAACTCTGAACACTTAGGACACACTCTAGATCAATCACATGAGAGTCTCTGGGGATTTGAGCCAGGCATCAGAGTATCTATATACATTCCTATATGATTCCAATATGCAGCCAGATTTAAGAATCTTCCCAAATTGAAGACATGAGTCCACAAATTGAAAATGCATACCAAATACCAAGCAAGAAAATTAAAAACAAACCTATAATTTAAAGTGGAAATGAAAAACCTTGGGAATAAAAAGAAAATCATATAAAGTTCCTGGAGAGAAAAGAAAAACTGTCTACAAAGGGAAGAAAATCACACCAATAGTAGACTTGACATCTGCAACATTAAATGACAAGACAAAGATTTAAAAATCTTCAAAGTGATGGCAGTAGAGAGGACACTGTGAACCTAGAATTCTATGGTCTGCTAAACTGTTCCTCAAGAGTGAAATACCAGACTTCTGGCCAAGATGGAGATGTAGGTAGACACACTGTGCCTCCTCGCACAACCAAAATAAGGACAATAATTTAGAAACAAAAAACAACCAGTACTGACAGAAAATTGAACTGTATGGAAGTCTGACAACCAAGGAGTTAAAGTAGACACATTCATCCAGAGTGGTAGGAGGGGCAAAGTTGGGCGGCCAGGCTGAGAGGGGTCCCGGCAAAGCAGTAGCTGGCGGACCCCGGGTGCACAAGGCAGCAGCTGGTGGACCCCGGGCACTCAGGTGGCGGCTGGCGGACCAGTGAGGCGGCGGATTGTGGAGGAGTGCTGCGCACAAGGAGGCTGACGGACCAGACAGTCCCACATTCATGCCGATAAACCAGGTGAAACTGCAGAGCAAGACACACCACATAACCCAGGGTCCCAGCGTGGGCAAATAAAGCCTCAAAACATCAACTAAAAACACCTGTGGGGGTTGAGGTGCCGGGAGAAACTCCCAGCCTCACACTGGAGAGACCCAAAGGGTCCTGGAACATACACAAACCCACCCACACGGGAATCAGCACCAGAAGGGCCCAATTTGCTTGGGGGAAGCGGGGGAAGTGACTAAACCCTGGCAGAGTGGAGCAAGTGCCACTGTTCCCTCTTGGATCCCTGCCCCACATTTATCACAACATAGTGACCTGGGTTTCCCTGCCCGGGTGAACACCTAAGGCTCCGCCCTTCATTACAAAACAGGCATGTCGAGACAAAAAAAAAAAAAATAGCTCAAACGAAAACACAGATCAAAGCTCCAGAAAAAATATAACTAAGTGATGAAGAGATAGCCAACCTATCAGATGCACAGTTCAAAACACTGGTAATCAGGATGCTCACAGAATTGGTTGAATTTGGTTGCAAATTAGATAAAAAAGTGAAGGCTATGCTAAGTGAAATAAAGGAAAATGTACAGGGAACCAACAGTGATGGGAAGGAAACTGGGACTCAAATCAATGGAGTAGACCAGAAGGAAGAAAGAAACACCTAATCAGAAAAGAATGAAGAAACAAGAATTTAAAAAAATGAGAGGCTTAGGAACCTCCAGGACATCTTTAAACATTCCTTTGTCTGAATTATAAGGGTACCAGAAGGAGAAGAGGAAGAGCAACAAGTGGAAAAATTATTTGAACAAATAATAAAGAACTTCCCCAATCTGACTAAGGAAATAGATGTCCAGGAAGTCCAGGAAGCTCAAAGAGTCCCAAAGTTGGACCCAAGGAGGAACACACCAAGGCACATCATAATTACATTACCCAAGATTAAAATGAAGGAGAGAATCCTAGAAGCAGCAAGAGATAAGGGAACAGTAACCTACAAAGGAGGTTCCCATCAGACTGTCAGCTGATTTCTCAAAAGAGACTTTGCAGGCAAGAAGGGGCTGGAAAAAAGTATTCCAAGTCATGAAAGGCAAGGACCTCCATCTAAGATTGCTCTATCCAGCAAAGCTTTCATTTAGAATGGAAGGGCAAATAAAGTGCTTTTCAGATAAGGTCAAGTTAAAGGAGTTCATCATCATTAAGCCCTTATTTTATGAAATGTTAAAGGGACTTATCTAAGAAAAAGAAGACAAAAACATGTATAGTAAATTGACAGCAAACTCAAAATTATTAACAACCACACCTAAAACAAAACCAAACTAAGCAAACAACTAGAACAGGAACAGAACCACAGAAATGGAGATCACATGGAGGTTTAACAACAGGGGAGTGGGAGGAGGAGAGAAGGGGAAAAGGTACAGAGAATAAGTAGCATAGAAGGTAGGTAGAAAATAGACAGGGGGAGGGCAAGAATAGTATGGGAAATGTAGAAGCTAAAGAACGTACAAGTATGACACATGGCCATGAACTAAAGGAGGGGAATGTGGGTGGGAGGGGGTGTGCAGGGTGAAGGGGGGAAAATGGGACAACTGTAATAGCATAATCAATAAAATATATTTAAAAAAATAAAAATAAAAAAGAAATATCGTATTTTGCCATGTACAATGTGCACCCACATTTTTGTGTGCATTATATACAGGATATCCATTACTTCACCCATGGTAGGTAATCATTATACCCATGTATAATGGGCACCCTTATTTTTCCCTCAAAAATTTGGGCAAAAAAGTGAGCATTATACATGGTAAAATATGGTAGACTTTTTCAGACACATGAACATAAGACTCTACTGTTCAAAGACCACCACTGAAAGAATTGCCTTACAAATAATATATTTCATTATGCAGGTGAGCTAGCCAAGAAAACCAGAGAGGTATTTAAAAATGTTGAACAACTCTAGATTCTATCTAGAAAATGCAAGATGTGTGAAGTCTATGCACCACTTAGGTTTCAACATTAAAGATGTTAAAATAGTTCAGTTCAATATTTTATAACAAAAGTATTAGCAGGGTTCTGGCTAGTTAATTTTAATTGTATTCTTGTGTTTTTGTAGAATTTAGTCTCAGTTTCAACCCCTAAATTTCTATAACTTTAAATAATAAAATCAAGAAATCACTGCCAATGTAACAACATTAAAACATTTTACTACTTTCACTGCAAAATAAAGATGTAATATATTTATACACTTATCAAAATATCAAAACAATTTTGTGATATTTTCATGCTTCCTAGATAATCTGAAAATAATTTAAGAACGCTCAAAATGACACCATTGAATTCCTGTAATGCTAAACTTAATATCCTTTCATATCTTAGTAAATTCAACCATACATGTTAATATCAATTAAATTAATCCTCAGGACTACATTCTATGACTTAACATGAAAAAGAAAAAATGACTCTTAACCAAGAATATAATTATATATTTAATACACTTTGCTTTTAACAGAAATTTTCAAAGTAAACACATCATAGACCTTATAACTTATTAAAGATTTATAGTGCTTACAAAGTTGATTCTAAAAATATACCTTATTTGGTCTAAATGAATAACATTATCTGGAAGACAGGATAATAAATTACAGCAATATGTTTATCACCACTATAGTCTTGAATGCATACATATATTCAATATAAAATGCTCTTAGGACTTTAACACTTTCAGCCTTAAAATGTAAAAAGCACATTCAAGTTTGGCATACAAGACTTCATTCAGTCTGACAGCATTGGTTTTAAAACCAAAAAACGAATACATAGTTAACATGTTAAGAGAACACAGGTACATAACATCCAAATACACATATACATTCTCTCTCTCACTCAATTCAGTACATACACACACAAACACACACAGAGTAAGCAGATTTCATTCGCCCTTGTGTATCTGATAATTGCCATCAATTTCAAAAATAAAAAGTGGGGAAAATTAATTAAAAATATGTTCAAACATATTTAAATTACTCTAGTTGTTTAAAAGATAAGCACAAAATTGTTATCAAGATCTCTAATGTGTGCACAATATGCCATCTCAATACATTCTTAAACTGGTTTGAACTACCCACTAATGGGCATAGGAATACATAAGAAATTATGTGCTCATCCATTCCCCAGATGGCAATCCTTTACAACCTGTCATATGAGGCAGCCCAACCAAAGTTATTTAATTTATGCAAACCAACAGATTTTACAATCTATTGAACAGAACTCAATAGAATTAGAAACTTCATCTAAATCTGTTTGGGAGTTTTTAGGTGTTCCTTGTGCAAAAGCCGCAGGTTTCTATATTGCAAATGACAGTTATGACTTAACACTTTGTAGCACTGAATTAGGTCTTTGTATTTCTAAAACTAAATTCCCCAGAGGTCCTTAGTTTTAATTATATATGTTTAGGTTTAGACTAAAAACAATTTAATGCTGATAGCCTTTCCCACTGATCACTTTTACCTCCAGTAAAATCTGTCGAAAGAAGAATTACTCTCTGAACTCTCTCCAGTAATGCAAGTTTGAAAAATGTTCTATGGAAGTTCATTTGTATCACATTTTAATTAAAACATCCAAAGTTCTCTGAAACAACATTAAAATACAGGATAGGGTAAAAGTAGGTTTACAGCTGCGAACATGTGAAACATAGTTGTTCTTGTATTATTTATTATTGTATTATTTTCTATATGAGCAACTGTAAACCTACTTTTGCCCCACCCTGTGGACACTAACTAGGGCATTCATACTCATACTGTTATGATTAGAAAAATAAATAGGCACAACAGTAAGCGAAGAGAATATACCAGCTTTCCAATTCCTTTTTTTCTTTTTTTGGCTTTCCTCTTATTTTATTACACTAAGTTTATAAATTGTTCAAAGCATTCTTATACTGACAGTAACAGAATATTTTGGCACATCAACATTGCGATACAACATATGGTATGTTTAAAAAATTAGTTAAGAATTTCATTTATTAATCTACATTTTTAATGTAGTGCATATATATTTTACAATTATTTAAGTCAAATACATAAAGGTTTGTAACTGATTTACAGATGAAGCAATCACAGATTGCAGTAATATATGCATATATGTGTGTGTGTGTGTGTGTGTGTGTGTGTGTGTATATATATATATATATATATATATATATATATATATATAAATCAAGGTAAAAACTGCATCCTGGCAATTTTAGAGTCCATAGTTTCATTGGTATATATCATTTACATGCCCTTTTCGACTTGTTTTTCTGTACAAAAAATACATTTCTGACTTCTTCATTCCTGATGAGATTTTTCTGCGATAACTTTACATTCATACTGTAAAATTGAAAAGGTTAAAAGGTTAACAAATAAGGGTTTATATTGAATAGCAATTTAAACTAAAAATTTTTAAAAATTAATATGTTATTAATCTATGCTCACTTTATTCCTCAAAGACTATCAGAGTTACACAACTATAAGGATTAAATGACAAATGTGATAGGGCAAAAAAAAAAAAATCACATTCTAGAAGTGAAAGTGCCATAGCCAAAAGCAGAAGATGAAGTTTCTGCATTACAAGCAAATAGTGACAGTTTATGATTCAGATGAGTCCTAGAATATGAAAGTAAGTTTCTTTGAGTGCTCAGTAAGGTTAATCAGTGAAGGAAAGGTTATGAACTTAAGGACAAGACTTATACAGTGAATTCAGATAATTTATTTTCAAATCACTTTACAATTTAAAGGAAAATATCTATTACATTAGCAAAAGTTTCTATCCAAAACAATATTTTAAAAGTAAAACTATAAAAATGTACACCCACAATTCAAAGGGAACAAGTATACTTAGAATAATTGGGTACTTGGATTATCAAAAAGAAAGCAACATACACTACCCAATTCCCCTACTCATTAAAATGGTAAAAGTCACAACACTTATTCTTGAAACTGATGTGGCCGCTGAATGTTACTCCCCAACCTTTGCCACTCACGATTGGGGTTGTAAATAATGTCCTTTCTTTTTCAACTAAAATAATGAAACATCTTGATTTGCTGGAGATAGTTCTAATTTATATTATTGTTGCAATGCCATTATTAATAGAGCCTCTTTTCACTTTTAAAATTGTCCCCTTTTGAGGAGTAGAAACCTATAAAATTAGTTTTAAAAAGAGGGGAAATAAATCATATCACCCTATTCATAACCCATTTTAGCTTTCCTTTCCAGTGGTTCCTTCAACTTTTAATACACTTGTGACTAAATTCTTCTAAATGGCTTATTTCAGTGGAATTGCAGAGAGAAATCAAAGAATGCTGGCTTCACAAATTGCTTTCCCTTAAAAAGTGACTATCATTTGGAGAAAACTTGTCTTACATCTTAATAAAAGTGATTAAATAAGCATTAGCTTACCATTGCCAGTTGTCGGCCAATGTTTCCCATTGTTATACCTCCAGCAAAAAATATACATGGTAACCAAGAACGAACATAAAGAAAATCTGGAGATGTATATCTAAAATAATAGAAATGTTTTTAACATTAATAAATGTATAATGACATTTATTAAAATAATTACAATAAAAATAAGTTACTTTTCAGATTAATCTGGCTAAACCAATTTTAACATCTCAATTCTGAATTCAGTTATCACTGATCTCTTTTACCAAACAAGCACCAAAAAGAATACTTACTGATAAACACCATTGTAGACTAGCAGTTGAGTGACCAATGTTGCCAAAAAAGCAATTCCTACTCCAAGGCCAAAACCAGTTCTAGATCTATCAAAAGTCCACCACAGTCCAATGGATAGTGCAGCCAATGTGAGAGATAACTGTATGTTGTTATCAAAGTCCACTTTCTGAGGTCAATGTTAAAGAGTCATCTTAAAATTTATAACCAATAATTTAACCCATTCATTTTTCAAAATAAGAGACGTTACTGTTAAAAGGAAATTAATTGCTTATTCTACAGTGCAGTCTTTTGATACAATGTCTGAGATTAGATGGGATTAAAATGGTCTCTGATATTTATTAAAGACACACAGAGGGCATAGCATTTCATTAACAGATCCTACCAACCTGTAATTCCTAAAACAAAACAAAAACACTCTATACACACTGCCAATTATAAGAGCAGACTCATTATTTGAGAACTGCTTTCTTTGCATGTGTTACCAGGAAGCCTGAGAACACAAGTTCTGCTAAAGAAACACGCTTTTGCTAAAAAGAAAACCAATATTACTTCTCAAACAGGCTGAGAATTAGTTGAGAAACATACAGGAATTTGAAAATAGAAGAGCTGACAGCTATTTAACAGGGTCTACATTCTCTATATGATTTACTGACAGACACATTTTATAATAACGCAGTTTGGAAACAAGAGTACCAAGGACACAGTATCCCTTTCTATTATGTCAACTGCTCTAGTTTTAATTTGTTGAGGATAAAGCCTTGAAGTGAACATTATCTTGCAACCTGTCAAATTAGTTTGGTGCCTGAGACATTCTGGTATAGGACAGTTTGCTCAAATGATGTTTTATTTCCATCACCTACTTAAGCACTATTTCACAAATGTATAGCCCTTTCCTATTCCAAAATCTCTGAGCAAAACGAAGCTTTACACATTCAGTTTTCTCATTTCTTTGCTAGAGGATTACACTAAAAGAATTAATTTCAAGTATCACTAAAGGGATGTTATCTATGTCCCAAAGCCCACATTGTGGTTTTATATCCAGCTCCCCAGCAGAAACTACGTACCTCACCAAACTAACTCATCAAGCTGCAACTACAGAGAAGAGAGTAGACTGAAAAAAAAAACAAAAACAAAAAAGAAAAAAAACAAAAACAGATAAGAAACCACTCCCTACTTCCTTTAACACTGTGTTGTTTACCAGCATTCTCCCTCCCCTACCCAACCAGCTAGTATCCTGAACACCCAGTGTGCTTACTTCTCAGCTATGGGCACTCCTCCAAGGTCATTCCCTGTTGAGGCTTGATTTATCAAAAAAACCTATAGTTTATGAGTATGCTTTCAGAAAAAGCTTTTCTTATTCTTTCACTCTGCAGGACAACACTCCAACCAACTGAACCACACTGGTCAGGGCCAACTTTTCTTATTCTTTTTTTTTTTTTTTTAGCTTTTCTTACTCTTTAACAGGCATTAATACCCAAAACTCCCCAAAGAGCTTGTAAACTCTAATTTCTCTACGCGATAAACAATCTTGTAAATGTGGAAGAAAAAGGGCCACATACTAAACCTGACCAACTCAGAGGAGGCCTGCATGGTAGCCTTACAAACTCAGAGACCGAAAGCAACCACAGAGGATGGTCTGAAATTAAAAACTTTTAACTAAAAGCAAGTCATAGTGGACAGTCACTGTCCTAGGCTAGAATATTCCCCAACAAAAGTCGATCTTGACCTCAACGAAGCATGTCAGTTGTCTTTTTGCATGTCAAATTTTCTTTTTCAGGACCCCTCAAAGCATAGGCACTGTACAAGGATAGACCACCGAGCCTCCTCATTGTTAATGTTATCATGTTAATTGTTAACTGATAACGATCCGCTACTCACCTGTGTAAAAGTATGTGTCTATCATGTTACCTTTTATTCAATCCCAGAGGTTTTCCCTGCTTTGCTTTCTCCCACCTCCCTAATCTATCATCAATAGATTTTATGTAACCCCCTTATGTCTTCTCCTTTGATTCTGATGTATAAAATAAGGTGCAAAAATGCCATTTTCCGGAGCACTTTTTCAATCTATTGAGGTTTTTTTCCCAGTGACTGTTGTCAGTTTGGCTCAAATAAACTCATAAAAATTCTTACAGGTTTGGACATTTCTTACGTTGACATAAAGAGTAGATTTTGACATTAACTGGGTACTATCTTTGCTAACTAAATTAACTTCATTAAGCGTCAATACAAAATAAGGAAGCTTCTAGGGTACACATACTAAACCTGACCAACTAGATGGTTAGTGGTTACTCCTCCTAACCACTAGTGGTTAGTCCTCCTAACCACTAGATTTGTTCACTATAAAATCCTAAATATCAAAGATTTCCCCAAACTAAACATATTAGGAAATTGTTTCATACAAAAGGAAATGGAAATAGGTAAAGGAAATGGAAATAGGTAAAATATCAATCTTAAAAATAGTACCATGTGATTTTATGAAGTCAAATTAACTGTATGTTACAAATTTGAAAACACTTTGGATATTGCATAAAGGATGTCCACCTAAGACCGTCACAGTTTAAGTATAAGACTGAAATACTTTAAGCATTTCCTGGAGATGAAAAAGAAAGACCAAAGCAAAGAATTTAGATATATAAACATTTTTAAATTCCAGAAAAAGGCTATTTAGGTTCCTCAACTTAAAAATAGCTAAAATGCCTTGGCTGGTGTGGCTCTGTGGATTGAGTGCTGGCCTGCAAACCAAAGGGTTACTGGTTTGATTCCCAGTCAGAGCACATGCCTGGGTTGCAGGCCAGGTGCCCAGTAGTGGGTATGCAAGAAGCAACCACACACTGAGGTTTCTCCCCTTCTCTTTCTCCCTCCCTTACCCTCTCTAAAAATAAATAAATAAAATATTTTTTAAATAGCTAAAATGTCTGAGAAAGAATGGTCTAATCTGCTAGATAGAGAAAATTTATACACTTGTGGGGCTCCTTGGTAGGACAGTGAACATTCCTAGATTGGAGTCAGGATCTCTGGGGTCTAGTCTCAGCTCTGGCACAGCCTTGCAGCACGAATGACATAGCAAAGTACCTAACCCCTCTAGCCTTTATTTGTCTTATCATCTTTATAAAGAACATATGGAAGTAGGTGATTTCTAAGTTTTCTTCTAGATATAATATTCTATGAGTCAATCTTTTTAAGTCCTCCTAACCACTAGATTTGTTCACTATAAAATCCTAAATATCAAAGATTTCCCCAAACTAAACATATTAGGAAATTGTTTCATACAAAAGGAAATGTAAAACCAACATAGTAACAGCCCCTGAGGGCCTTCCAAATCCACAGATATTCAAGGGCCACACACAATGGGAACAGAAAGAACAGATGTGTTCTCAGCATATAAGACCCTGCCTCTTCCCCAAGCTTCTTCAAAACATGTCAATACTTTCCGTAAAAGGCATAGCAATCGAATGGCCGCATGACTCACCCTATCTCCAATTGAATGCCAGCCCTAAGCCCAGTGCAGTTACATGAGGAAACATTGGGTAGCCCTGAGTCACACTTCCTGCTCTTCCCAATACCAAAGACTCCCACCACGTCTCTAAGCCACCCCTATAGAAAAGGGAAGATTGAATAGGCATTTCCCAAATCCTCTTCTACAAAGGAAAGCTGGGGGTGAGAGTGAAGAAAGTAATGAGGATGACAGAATTAAAACCTTATTAGAGCAAAAACTTTTGTTCTAAGGGTAGAAATTTTTTTTTTCTGAGAAGTAAAAAACAGAAGGGGAGAAGGAAAGTAGAGGTAGGCTACCTTGCCCTCCTAGCTATAAAAATGATCATTAATCACTAAATCAAACATGAGAATCCTTAAATGATCGAACTATAAAAATATGTACCTTAGAGAAAAAAGTTGTTTTTAACCAAGGTCTAAACTGGATATTTCTACTATGGCACCTTTAAGAACATTTATGTGGTTTGCTGGTGTTAATTAAAACCAACAAATGACAGTCTGTCGGGGTAGGGGGCAGGCAGTATTTATAGGTTCTTGAAATTAAAAACAAAAAACAAAAAAACAGCACATGAAGCCACCACATGTCCTTCGTGGCAAATATTAAATGAAGAGAGAGGAATGGAATCCTTTGAAAATTTACCTCTTTCAATGCTAGCGTTACAAAACCTGTATATAAGTAGTTTAGTGACCTAATTTAACAAAAACATGTGTTTTAAACATGCAAATTTTCTAAGTTATATTTGAAGAAATGAGATTCAAATGAAAGGCTAAACCCCACACAGTAGCAGCATCGTACAGATGCTATCGTGATGTTTCAACAATAGGACACAAATTCTTTTTATGACTAAGTGGGCATAATCACAATTTGACAACAGTTAAGTTGCAAGGAATCAGTTAACCTTTGGTTTTTTGGGAGCTGCTTTCTTATTATGCATTTCATTATAACAAAAGGATACAGCGCTGGCATGATTTATACCAACAAAGACAGCTACACACCGCATTACACTGGACCACTCTCTTTTAAATTTATGTGGTTCTCCTAGATGCTTGTCAATACAGGGGTATAATAACCCGATCGCAGCTGCAGATAAAAAGAGAAAAAAATTAAGTCATCTCCAATGTTATACTGTCAAAACTTAACGCTGAGTCACTACGATCACCATAACCATTTGAAAGATTCTTTTAAAAAACTCTTTAAATTACTTAATGACAACTGATATTTTAAACTTACCTTCCAAAAGGAATAAAATATGAGAACACTACTGATGAAAGTACTGTAAATGAGTACAACAGTATTCTAAATTATAAAAGGCACAACACTATTTCAGTCTATGATTCACAATTTAGCAGACTGGACTCAATGATTCATGCTACTTTTCTACTACCAATATCTCTGAGACCTGAAAAGCATCAAACCATTTGCCAGTTAAGCAATGTTCTAAGTATGTAACCATGAAATATTGTATTAAACGCCATCATCCTAAAGAAAAGCTAGGAGCTAAACACATACAATAAGTTCATCATACACACAATATGCAAATGGCTATGGCTATCCTGTTACATAGATCATCTTTGCCTCTTCATCATCTTGTCTCAGTCTCCTGCTTCTAGTGCCTTGATCTGACACTCCCTCCCACCCTGGCCCTATAATGGGCTAGGTCATACTGTCAAAGCAGAAAAACTTGCAACACAAATCTACACATAAGATTCAATCTACACATAGAAAAATATGGAGGAAACATGGTCTATATAAGAATTCTAAATTTTTGGTAAAAATTTAAATTCACTTAAAATATAAGATATTGTTTTAGTACATTTCTTACTTTTGGAAAGACCATCTTGACTGCTAATTGTGTAATTAACTATGAAAAAGTATATGCAAAATGTCTACAATTGAGACTCAAAATATTCTCACCCAGTTTATTCTTTTATTGTCATTCAAGTACAGTTGTCTCCATTTTCCTCCCATTACTCCCCCCGCCCCACCCATCCCTGCCTCGCACCCTCAGTCCTACCCCATTTGGCTTTGCCCATGTGTCCTTTATACATGTTCCTTGACGACCCTTCCTCTATTTTCCCCCAGTATCCTTCTCCTCCCTCCCCTCTGGTTACTATCAGTTTGTTCTTTATTTCAATGTTTCTGCTTCTATTTTGCTCACTTGTTTGTTTTGTTGATTAGGTTCCACTTACAGGTGAGATCATATGGTATTTGTCTTTCATTGCCTGACTTATTTCACTCAGCATAAAACTCTCCAGATCTATCCATGCGGTCGGGAAGGACAGGAGCTCCTTCTTTCTTTCTGCTGCAGGGCATCCCATTGTGTAAATGTACCATAATATTTTGACCCACTCATTTACTGATGCGCACTTAGGTTGCTTCCAACACTTGGCTACTATGAACATTGGTGTGCATAGGTTCTTTTGAATTGGTATTTCAGGATTCTTAGGGTATAATCCCAGCAGTGGAATTTTTGGGTCAAAAGGCAGTTCCATTTTAGCTTTCTGAGGAAATTCAATACTGTTTTCCACAGTGGCTGCAACAGTCTACATTCCCACCAACAGTGCACTAGGGTTCCCTTTTCTCTACAACCTCACCAGCACTTGTTGTTTGTTGATTTGTTTGTGATGGACATTCTGACCAGTGTGAAGTAGTATCTCATTGTGGTTTTAATTTACATCTCTCTGATGGCCATTGATGCTGGGCATCCTTTCATGTGTCTCTGGGCCCTCTGCATGTCCTCCTTGGAGAAGTGTCTTTTGAAATCCTTTGCCCATTTTTTACTTGGGTTGTTTATCTTCCTGGAGTGGACTCGTGTGAGTTCTTTATATATTTTGGAGATCAAACCCTTGTCCGAGTTATCATTTGCAAACATATTTTCCGATACAGTTGGTTCCCTTTTCATTTTACTGATGTTTTCTTTAGCCGTGCAGAAGCTTTTTATTTTGATAAAGTCCTATTTGTTTATTCTTTCTTTTATATCCCTTGCTCTAGGGAACATATCAGTCTCACCCAATTTTTAACTTAAATACTTGTCAATCCTCAACTTTTTATTCATCTGGTTGGAGAAGATTAAAAATGCTTAGTCATAAAAAATAAACTAATGAACCAGAACTTTCTTCACAAGTTATAAGGAAAATGTATTTTCACAGATTAAATTTAGCAAATCAAAGCTGCCTAGCTACTTCCTATTAATCTTCCTAAAAACAAAATGGTTATGCTCCCATAAGGAAACAAAGACACAACTGTCACATCAGTTGAAAAGCATGTCTAAAACATCCAATACTACCTATGACATATCACGAAACTATTGTACCAAACTCTATGTGCCTGAGGATCAGAAGCTTCTGCTTGGCTTGATACTGGGTAGCTATACCTCACAAATGATGCATTCCATCTTCAAGGAAAATGGAAATCAATATCAAAAATCACAGGCTAGCAGACCAATGGGGCAGCATGAAAAATAGGCTGTAGGACTGCCCTTCCATCTGGAGGTGAGATGCTGCAATGATGTATGCATTTTGTAATCCACAAAACACTTGAATATGCTCTTTTGAGTTAGGCTTTGGCTTTATATAGGTTCACGGACTATCAAGAGATTAACAACAAACTTCAGTAATGCAGAGCTCCAAAGACTACCAGTAAATTTAAAAGTCTTACATTACAACAGGTCCTTGAATAAGGTCACTTCATTCACTGCCATTTCATTACAACTCTGTAGGAACTTAAACTCTTGTTTATACCAATTAGCCTGTGAACTGGCTTTGTTATCTGTTATTTCAATTAAAACTACAGAACCTACTGAAGACTTTGAATGAGAATTTACTGCATATTCCTATTTGAAAAGCTATGCTCTAAAATCCTGTAAAATTAATTGACAGCATTTCCAAATTTCTACAAAATTAAAGTGGCAACAAGCATATCTAGAGCTGCAGTGTATCTAAATGAATATTACCTCTTTTTTTTTCTTACTGGGTCATAAAACTAACAGCTCATATGTCATTCCTCACTCTCATTCTTGCCCTCTCTCTCCTCCCTTTGTCTGCTGCTAAGTAAAACCAACTAAGATCAGGCATTCCAAGTCAATTTTCCTCAGCAGTTGACACCATAGGTAAAGAATTATCACATAGAGAGGACTGACATGTGTGCAAAGATATAAATAAGTAAAATTGACTATATTTTTATGCATTTGATATCTGACTCGAAAGTGAGAGACAACTGAGGAGAGAAAGCAAAAAACACAAAAGGAATTTAAACTGCCATGCTGCCAACCTTGGGATTTGCCAATAAAAATCAAATCCATTGAGTGCACAGTTCTCCAATGCTCACTGAGAGGGAGATTTCAAGGAAGCTTGTCACTTCCCATTAAATGTCTTCTCTCTTCCCTTTACATAAAAGCAAGGCAGAGTCTGATAGCAATATCTACAGCACAATGATGCTCTCCTATTTATGAGCTCAGCATAGGTATTTTGGTCTTCTTTTCCTCCTTCTCTACTTTCATATTTTAACAAAAAAGACTGTTATAAGCATGCCTGCATAAAATCATATGCAAACAAATCCTGGTTAGTTAGATGGTTCTCTGATGCAAAATCATATTTCTTAGGACACCCACATACCTTATTTTTTACGCTTTGTTTTACTGAGCTTTGCAGATATTGAGGGATTTTTACCAATTTAAGCAAAAAGATTACAACTCAGTGCAAGCTCAGACAATAGTTAGCATTTTTTAGCTGGTATTGTATTTTTTAATAAAGGTATGTACATTGTTTTTTTAGACATAGTGCTATTGCACACTTAACATACTAAAGTATAATGTAAACATAATTTCTATATGCACTAGGAAACCAAAATATTCATGTGACTCATTTTATTGCAATATTGCTTTATTGTAGTGGTCTGGAATCAAACCTACAATATCTCCCAAGTACACCTGTATATTTATTTTCCAGTGACTAGTGACAGGCTACTAAGGCTATAAGCAAGAAAAGTTTGTAAAACATCAATATGGTCATCTTTTTCATGGTAATGTGTTTAATGCAGTGATACACTAAAAGGAACAGTTAAATCAACCATTTTGTCAGGAAAAAAGGCTGAAAAAACAAAACCACTTAATGAGATGTACTTTCATGGAAAACTATGGAATATTATAGGATAGGCAATGTTTTCATTCAACAAATACTTAAGCTTCCAAAGTGACCACAGAAACAATTAAATAGAGTAATGTGTTAGGGGTAGCACTGACAGAGCCCAGTGAGGTCCCAGGCTCCTCCTGGCATGCTCTGAGAGGAGGAGAGGTGTCAGGAAAGCTTCACAGAAGAGGGGATACTTCAGGCAGGAGCATTCATCAGATAAGTGGTACAGAAAAGAGCTTTCTAAGCAGTATGGAACTTCCTCAGAAAACTAAAAACGGATCTGCCTTTTGACCCTGCGATTCCACTGCTGGGACTCTATCCTAAGAATACTAAAACACCAATTCAAAAGAACCTATGCATCCCAATGTTCATAGCAGCACAATTTACAATAGCTAGATGCTGGAAGCAACCAAGATGCCCATCAGTAAATGAATGGATCGAAAAACTATGGTACATTTACACAATGGAATTCTATGCAGTAGAAAGAAAGAAGGAGCTCCTACTCTTTGCAACAGCGTGGATGGAGCTGGAAAACATTATGCTAAGAGAAACAAGCCAGGCAGTGAAAGATAAATACCATATGATCTCACCTTTAACAGGAACCTAAACAACAAAACAAAGAAACAAGCAAAATATAACCAAAGACACTGAAATAGAGGTCAGACTGACAGTGCCCACAGAAGACAGTAGAGGGAATTTCAGGGGACAGTGGGAAGGGTTCACGGGAACAAACTTAAAGGACACATGGTCATAAACTAAGGGGAGAGTGGTAATGGGAGGGAAGTGGGTAGGGGTGGGGGGCCCTGGATTGGGAGTAAAAAAGAGAAAACTGTATTTGAACAATGATTAAAATAAAATTAAAAAAAAAAAAAAAGAAAGAGCTTTCTAACCAAAGTGAAACATTTGGGAACAGAAAATACCCAGTACTGCATAGACATTGTAAGCATTACG